ATCATTTAACTATGCAAGATGACATGGAGTGCATTTAAGCGTAAAATCCGTTTTCGATATAGTTCTTAGCATGTTTCTTTATTGGCCTTTGTATTTATTTCGTTTTAAGTGGAACAGCTATACTATATTAGAATTTTAAGACTTATTTTAATTTTTAGACTTGTAGTAATTCATTTCACAATCATTGTTAAAAACTCTTGTTATTTTCTTAGATTTGAAATAGCTAATTAACAACTTTAAATTAAAAACAATTTTTATTTGTACACCAGGATTAATGGAGAGCAGTTGTCAGGTGCATGTACACGAATAATTATAATTTTGCTAACATATTGGGTTGCGACCAGCAGGGATCCAGACCAGCCTGCGCATCCGCGCAGACTGATCAGGATCCATGCTGTTCGCTTACATAGTCTATAGCAAGTAGAGAAACTGATAGCGAACAGCATGGATCCTGATCAGACTGCGCGGATGCGCAGGCTGGTCTGGATCCCTGCTGGTCGCAACCCAATATGTTGGTTTTGTCATGACGCGGCTCATTTAAACATAATCTGTTTTCAATTAAGTATATTTAGAAACAAACCCACATATTTAGCAAATGGTTTGGCATGATACTCCTGCAATTATAACAGTTTATTAATATATTAAGCTAATTAGATTTAAAAATAGTTCGCTTGTACAAAATATTTGCTTTATATTAACTTCGGGTTTATATTTTACATATAAATATAGTCCTACCCAAAAGTGTAAAATGAAAACCATGCACATCACTGAAATTGTGTCATTTTTAACACTATAGCATAATATAACGTATATAGATTTGAGCCGCGTCATGACAAAACCAACATAATGGTAAGCGAACAGCATGGATACTGATCAGACTGCGCGGAAGCGCAGGCTGGTCTGGATACATGCTGGTCGCAAACGCACTATGTTGTTTTTGTCATGACGCGGCTCATTTTTCTATTTCTTATAATGAGAAATAGGGTTATGAATTAATATCAATAACGTTATGTCTTATCAATGTTGTCATCTTTATCATTCACTTATTTATTCATATCTAGATTTTCAAGAGTGTGATGAAAATGAATATAGATGTACAAGTTGTCAATGTATTCAATCTGATCAAAGATGTGATACGTCCGAAGATTGTTTGGACGGTTCTGATGAGGAAAATTGTCGTATGTCTTTTCAGTATTTAATTTTAGTTAAAAGAGGAACAATTCAAATAATTACTTTTTACGGACAGATATTTTTGTACCATTGTACGTGGTTCATGAGTTTTAATGTGTGGTGCCCTTATGCTTTAAATTTAATATTACCATAGTATTTTTTTATTATTCGTTCGAACATGTGTTGTTTTAAATCATCCTACTAAAAAGACATAATTAGTGCTAAAATGAATATAAACTGTTACACGATAAATAGTTATTTATTTCAAATGAAGTCAATTAATTTAGTCAAGGAGGAGCACCTGAAGTCTTCCTAAACCAGTGAAGCTGTAAACTCGACATATGACACCTGTTGTGTTAGTGCGACGTAAAACAATATTACTACTACTAATAAAATAAAAAAGATTTTGTGCTCATTGATCGAATATCTTAGTTATAGATATATTATTCAACACTCGTGTTTACATTCGTAAAAGCATTTACTTTTATTCATGAATTTTTACGACTTGACATAAATTCAGTAAATAATATATGAGCTGCGTCATGACAAAACCAACATAGTGCGTTTGCGACCAGCATGGTTCCAGACCAGCCTGCGCATCGCGCAGTCTGATCAGGATCCATGCTGTTTGCTATCTGTCTCTCTACGTGTTATAGGGTTTGTGAGCGAACAGCATGGGTCCTGATCAGACTGCACGGATGCGCAGGCTGGTCTGGATCCATGCTGGTCGCAAACGCACTATGTTGGTATTGTCATGACGCGGCTCATATGATCATTTAAATCGACAGTAAAATGGCAATAATGTAATAGAACAGTTGTTAGAGTTTTAAAAATAATGCAATGCTATCTGTTTGACTATTTATTCTGTTAAACAATTGTATTATCGGTTCGACTTCAAACCCGACAAAATACTATTAACCAATGAATGTAAGCCAGTCCGATGCTGACAATAACTTTAATACTCAGATGTATATATTCTAAAAACAATATTTGAATTCTCAGGTGTACTCAGATTTAATATATTGTTATTAGAATTAGATGTACTCAGATTAAGTACAATATTAGATTACCAAGGTTTACTAAGACTAAATGTCATATCGTAATACTTAGGTTTTCTAAGTTTAAATACATTTTTTATAATACTCGGGTGTACTCAGACTTAATACTATATTTTTAATACTCATGTGTTTTCAGAATAAACATCAAGTGGACACTTCCACGTATAGACATTAAGTAATGAAGAACCGAACGTTTAAAAATTCTCGTATTTCTCCACTATATGATTTTAATCAATTGTCTGCGAGGATCATGATCTCAGACCCTAACACAATAAAAATACAAGGAACGTTTAAATATGTTTTTTTTTATAAGAAGCACCATATTTGTAAAGTCGTTTCTCGTTTCTTGCTCCTTTATCTTTGTAGTAAATAAGCTCTTCAAATTATATTGACAGTTCCAGCCGCATTCAATACCAACCAGATAACAATAAACAAACTCACCTTTAATTAAAATTTGGACAGATTAAATAAGAAAAACAACAGGAAATCATTACCTACCATTCAATAAGGTCCGTATATAAGATCGTACGTATGATATTATCGGTGGTCAATGATGAAAAGTCACACACAAAGACAACTGTTACACTATTTTGCTATGATTTATCAATTTTTCAAAGGCTTAACTATCTAAATTAGACCAATTTGCAAGTTGGTATACTTGATCTAGAAAACACACTATAAATATAACAGTGAATTGGGTATGAGAGTAATAAACAAAAATGTCAAGACAATTTTAACCCCGAGACAAACCTCGTAATATATACACATTGCAGTATGATATCCTAATAATATATGGAATGCATTTCATAAGACAATGATCATATGAATGAAATATTTCGGAAATAGACATTAATTTTAAGTGAATTGCCGCAGGAAAAAAACAATATTTATGTACAAACGCTCAGTTAATGTAGTCACAAACGCCGGTTATGACGAATCATTTTAACAATAAACCATATCTCTAATAGAATATAAACAATATGATGATCTTTAATTAAAGTGACATTATGCCCATCCAAGGGTATATGGTGAGTGAACATGTAAATATCAAAATAAGTTTTCATTATGCAATAATTCCTTTTAATTTAATAATTTACTTCCCATAAACAGGAAATGATGCACGGATCCAAATAAAATTTCTGTAAATATCTTTTAGAATTTACCTACAACGCACGCTCAGTTTATAAAAAGAATGGGGCAGTCTTTTTATATTTTAGGCAGATTTATAATTTTATTCTGAACATTTTCCAATATCAACTGTTGGTCATACACCATTTTAACAGTCAATCTTTTGAAATATAAAGTCAATTTAGCTCAACTTGACTATGAAAATATGAGCATAATGTCACTTTAAGGAATTCGATTTTCATGACGTCATTTTGTTAACTTATGTCACATTTTACGTAAATACGGCAATGCATTTCTTTTCCTAATTTGTACGCTATTTTGGCATACGATGCATTTGCATGAAGCGTTAGAATCCTAATTAACAGATATCGGCTGTTGTATTTATAATGAGGTTATCTATACAAATTGCAAAAGAAAGTGTTCTTGGTTACTTGGAAATTCCGTTTATTTATTTGAACTAAAAATTGAAACTTTGCAACATTTAATGACCAAACAATGGTATACTTTGTATTGAATTTTGATAAATATGAGAATTGACGCTGCATGTCGCAGATATTGCGATATACATGTATTTTAATATACTACTAATTTTATCAAGAAATATTTTCTTTGTAAGTTACATGAGATATCACCGTGTCTTTAAAGTTTATTGTTAAGTTATCCGACGGTGAAGATATAGTAGCATTTTGCACGTATTTTATCAGCTACTTCAATGTTTTTCACGTGCATTTAGTAATTCTATTGTTTTAGTTCCCCGACGGTGAATTATTGTGCACGATATATTTATGTATTCATGTTTGCACGTGTTTTATCAGTCAGTTCAAGGTTTTTCACGTGCAACCTATTGTTTTAGTTCCCCGACGGTGAATTATTGTGCACGAGATATTTATGTTTTCATGTTTTACATGCTTTTCTTGCCATGCTTAATTATAAAGGCGGGAAAGTTTTGCTATATATATAGGGACATTTTATGAGTTAAAGGTGGGTGAAATAAAATAAGTTAGACTGATTTGTTAATAAAGGTTGTTAAATTAAATACTTGGATTATATTTGTGATTATTAAATGAAATTGTTTAAGTCAAATAAGTCAAATAATTGGATTATATTTGTGATGATTAAATAAAATAGTTTAATTGGATTAAAACGTGTTGTGCTATAAAATAAATTAATATTCAAGAAGGAAATGTGTTCTTTCTTCCAATGTCTTGGATTATAAAATAAAATTAAAAGGAAATTCACGACACTGCATAGATCAGCTGTTATGTCATATGGATATGAGATTGAATGATTCATTTCAACATTTGAGTACCCGAAGGGCAAAAACGCATCTTACAAAAAGCACAAATCTGCTTCTTTCATTTTCACCATTTAGCTGTTTACATTTAATGTCGGTGCCCGTTCGCCTGAAATAGTTCACGAAAGGGCACCTTAGGTCTTCCTCCACCAGTAAAGCTGGAATGTCGACGTATGACCTATATTGTATCGGTGTGACTTAAAACCCAAACAAACAAACAAACATGTAATTAAATACTGATCATAATGAAATTTCAATTAACTGTAAATCATCGTGTAGTCAATACATTTCTGCAAATTTTCATACCAAATATTCAACGAGTTTGCTTACGACAGTATAACTAAGTACAAACTGTTTTTGCAACTGAGTATATACAATTGATACGAGGCTATATATTACCTTTGCACAACTTCGGTAAATATCGCACAGCCATTGTTGACAATATGTTCCAGTTTTTAACATATATATCTTGGACGTATGGATATTGGTCTTTTGATGTTATACTGTTGTCACCTTCTAAAATTCTATAAACGTCAAAGTCATGCAAAGTCGTCATTGTCCTCGAAAACATCAAATTAGCAACTGTGTAGGATTCATTATCGTTTTGAATAAATATCAAACTACGTGATGTCTTCTTTGTAAATTGTACAAGATCCATGTATTCATTTGCTAAAGCTTTGTAGATACACGTGTAACCCCTATCAATATGTTCAGTTGGCCTTATTTCTTTTTCAGTGATTTTCAAAACAGCGTGATTAAAAGGAATTCCTTGTAACCCTCCTTCAAGTGTATAGCCAAGACTTCTAATAATGCCACTTGAAGAGTGAAGTTGTCTCGCAAGTTCCAATATGTCAGGCCCTCTGGCGTTATTATCCTCGTGACGTAGTATTATCACCTCACGTTCTGAATCGCTACAACCTGAAATTAAAAATAATTTTATAATATTATCATTTAGATCTATCAAAGAGAGAAAAAGAATCCCTAAAGAAAGCCAAACACGGCAAAACTGAAAATGTTGCAGGCTCGGTTTGATTGAGCCTGTTCATGGACGGTACTGTCAAGTGCAAATTACCGTCCACGCCCCCTAGCACCGACTTAAGCAGAAAAAAAAGAATAAAGATCAACAAGGTAAAGGCAACGTTCACAGGACGTAGCCATCGACACATCCAAGAAGAGCACCCAGAAGACATCCAACATTTCAAGAATTCAACATTATAAAGGAACTGTACAATTTTGAATTTTGAAACATCCACAGATGTGTTCATATGGCGTTATCATGGAACTTTCAATGTGACACGTAAGTGCCATTCCATAATAAGCGGCATATGGTCCCCGAGTAAAAAAGCATGTGCCCTAAACGAGAAAACAATGGCCATTCAAATGTGTGTGTTTTTTTTCAATTGCATAGAACGAAAAAAACCAAAAGTAAACAGACAAGCTGTCAAACAACTGCTATTTTGAGCTACAACACATTTATTAAGATCATCTGTAGATAAATCAAGTCGAAGTTAAAGGTCAAATGGCGACTTTTCTGTTTTACTACTGGAGGAACACCTGATTAAAGCCATCGATCTTTCGCTAGGCGGCCAGATACCTTTTTACATGAATAGACCGGGAGTCGAACCCAAAGAGGGGAACGGTAAATAATTTTAAGTTACCTTAACCCGACGGCCACGGAGGCTCCTCTCTACGGTGTAGAGAATTATAAAAGAACCAGAATAAAACAGTGTATATTTCAATGTTTAATTGATTGATTGAGTCAGTATAATATTTCTCAAGTTCCTTTTTACATTGAATATTAAACTAAAAACGTTTTTGTTTGTTTTGAGATAAAATGTAAAGTCTCATATTAGACTTAAACATTACTATAATAACACCTGGCCACCCCCACCCCTCTAAAAAAACAACTATTTTTCTAAAGGACGTTCTGCATTTAATTTATCTGTGTCTTCCAAAATACAAACGGGTACCCTTATTCTTTATTTTACACGCTTTGAACCGTTGTGATAAGAATATTATTTACTTATATATATTTAGAGAGTACTGAAATGCATAATGTACATAATGTACTTTAATAATATTTTACTGACCGCATTCATATTCGTCTTCAGCATTTGGACAATGTTCCTTGCCATCACAGACAAATCTCAATGGTATACAGTAACTTCTTGGGCATTTAACAGTACCGGCTGGACAGGAATGAAATTCTGGAAGATGGAATAGTTATCTTGTTAACTATGCAATAGTCAAGGTATGTTTCTTGTGTCTTGTAACCGTAAAATAGAAAATGTATGTTTTTTGTTTTAGTTTTTAACAACTCTTGAATTTATTTGATTTAACCATTAAACGCATTTTAGTACATTCAAATAAAAATCTTACATTTGCTGCCAGTATAAAAACGGGCTTTACTGTTTGTAATAAGTTATCGGTTTTATAATTTAATCATCAAAGCCAAAGATTACGTATAGACGCATGCATATTCGTATCAAATATTCTAAACATTCGTATCATCTTATCATTAGTTGATTGTTCTTGGCAGCATATTTTCACGGTTAAAAATGATAAGTTACCACAGTTCTGAAGATGTGATCCAGTTCTACATCTTATTATAGTACCAGATATGCCCGTATCATACACACACATCAGCGATAAATCAAACACCTTATGTGGCTTGCCACATCCGAAAGTAGTAACTTCTGGTGAGTACTCTGGTTATATGATGAAAGTTACTACACGTTTTATATATAAACGGATTTCGATTATATTTCTTATTTTAGGATTGATCAAACAATAAAAAAGAAAACTTTAATTTGTCTAAACAAACAGAAAGCAAACGTACACATTTTTAATAAAGGTTTGCCTCCGATTCGCATGCAATTTGGACTGTTGGAATTGTCAGAGGAAGGAGTACACAGCGCTCAAGTTTCATGGCCGTAGCCCAAATACAAGGCCGGCACCAAGTCGGAATGCATTAGGCCTTTTTCGCTTCATTTTCTTTTTTTTCATATACGTTTGCGCTGAAAGTTTTTTAAAAAAACGGGTGCGACAATTGGCACTGTGTGCCAACCGTAGATCCGATTCGCATGCAATTTGGACTGCTGTAATTGTCAGAGGAAGGAGTACACAGCGCTCAAGTTTCATGGCCGTAGCCAAATTACAAGGCCGTCACCAAGTCGGAATGCATTAGGCCTTTTTCGCTTCATTTTCTTTTTTTTTCATATACGTTTGCGCTGAAAGTTTCTAAAAAAAACGGGTGCGACAATTGGCACTGTGTGCCAACCGAAGGTCCGATTCGCATGCGATTTGGACTGTTGGAATTGTGAGAGGAAGTAGTACACAGCCACCAAGTTTCATGGCCGTAGCCCAAATACAAGGCCGGCACCAAGTCGGAATGCATTAGGCCTTTTTCGCTTCATTTTCTTTTTTATTTTCATACACGTTTGCGCTGAAATTTTCTAAATAAAACGGGTGCGACAATTGGCACTGTGTGCCAACCGTAGGTCCGATTCGCTTGCGATTTGGACTGTTGGAATTGTGAGAGGAAGTAGTACACAGCCACCAAGTTTCATGGCCGTAGCCCAAATACAAGGCCGGCACCAAGTCGGAATGCATTAGGCCTTTTTCGCTTCATTTTCTTTTTTATTTTCATATACGTTTGCGCTGAAAGTTTCTAAAAAAACGGGTGCGACAATTGGCACTGTGTGCCAACCGTAGGTCCGATTCGCTTGCAATTTGGACTGTTGGAATTGTTAGAGGAAGGCCTACACAGCCACCAAGTTTCATGGCCGTAGCCCAAATACAAGGCCGGCACCAAGTCGGAATGCATTAGGCCTTTTTCGCTTCATTTTTTTTTCATATACGTTTGCGCTGAAGGTTTCTAAAAAAAAAACGGGTGCGACAATTGGCACTGTGTGCCAACCGTAAGTCCGATTCGCATGCAATTTGGACTGTTGGAATTGTCAGAGGAAGGAGTACACAGCGCTCAAGTTTTATGGCCGTAGCCCAAATACAAGGCCGGCACCAAGTCGGAATGCATTAGGCCTTTTTCGCTTCATTTTCTTTTTTTTTTCATATACGTTTGCGCTGAAAGTTTCTAAAAAAAACGGGTGCGACAATTGGCACTGTGTGCCAACCGTAGGTCCGATTCGCATGCAATTTGGACTGTTGGAATTGTCAGAGGAAGGAGTACACAGCGCTCAAGTTT